TAAGACATACTAAAATTCACTCCAAAATGTAGTTCAAATTAAGCAAGACTACCTATCAATCCCCTTCACTGATGTCAGAGTCTCAATAAACATATCCTCTTTCCAACAAGGAATTTGACTTCACCACTGCATACCTGAAATCCACCTCCAGTGCAATGGAGATTGATAGAATATTGTAATTACAATTATACAGGAGGACACATCAACCAAACAAAGAAGTTGCGCAAGAAAAAATATCACAGCATCACATCTATAATATTGTTCAAGTCAATCAATATCATTGATTCATCTCTTTCTCTGACCTCCAAGCTTTACTGTAAGTTGCTAGTAAGGAAGGGCTTTTTAGAAACTCAAGGGACCTAGAGTAAATCAAAACCACATAACTGAGATTCAGATCTGCATCTACTACTCATGTAACAAATTACCTTAAAAGTTTACCACATTTTATATATAAACTAAAGTATACAATCAAATGCAAATTGTAAAGTGATGAAAATAATGTTGCTTTGCAGAACTAACTGAAGTAATTCAACATTGTTCAATAAACTACAAAGCTGAAAAGTGATAATCACCAATTAGAGATCATAAAATCGTTTTAGGTATGGAAAGTTGACATGCTACAGTTTGCTGGAAGATATTCATATCCAGATCCAGATCCTGAAAGCCTTCCTTCATTTGATAGATATTCATCAGTACAGGAACCTGGTCCAAGTATTTTGTCACAAACCTATCCAAGAATAGCTTCTCAACAGGTTTTGCACATGTACTTAGGCTCAAATTTTTCTTTACCAACCCCTTCAATTGCAGAACTTTAATAACCAAACACCTTGGGATTATCCTCTTCTCCAAACCCATAAGAAAAACGTCTGGATACAAGACAATATCCGTGGACTGCCAACCCATCTTGTTCACAAGAAAATCCATTGCATTTATTATTTTGCTTTCAGAGGCATTAAAAAAAATGGGGCAATTTCTGAACGCATACATAATGTCCTCATCAGACCACCCCCACCCCCTGAAAATATTAAACTTCTGCTCCAAAGTTGATTGACTCATTGAAGCAAACACCTGCATTGCATGGATGAACCCACATTTCTGAGGATCAAAACCCATTTCAATAACCTTCTTGACATTTTTGTCAAACTTCTCACGTTTTTGGAAGACTATAGGGGCATAACATATTAAAATCAGTGCAATAAGAGGGTCAGGCATTCCAAATTCTCTTAGGACTGTAAGTTTCGGAGACACATTCTTTGGCAAATCTATATGAAAGAGCCATGATTTTTTTCTAAAAAATTTGATAACATTTTCATCGGAGAGAAGCACACTTTTGAGGAATTTATAGTTAGGAATGAGCAGATTTTCCAAACTGCGACCCAAAATAGCTGGATTTGAAGAGCAAACACTCGCAAGCTCAGCATCTGTTACCCCAAAAGAGTTAAAAAAGTCAAATTTAGGCAATATTGACCTCTCAGGAATGGCTAAAAGTACACGAGGGCGCATTCCAACAACTTTGATTATATGGGCAGCCGTAAATCGGTGGCTTCTTAGAACTTTCAGGACCGAATCTGGTCGTTCAGCAGATTGAAGCTTGATTCTTTTGGAGACAGATTTTGCCTTTTCCGGGGACAACCCACATGAATTTATGAGGTATGACACAGTAAATGAGTGGTCCTTTTCAACTTGTTCTATATTGGTTGAGAATGATCTCATGCTAGTGGGCAACAAACCCAAACACAAATCGACATGATTAGTGCCTAAATTTTGGACGACACACCTATAAATATTTGGTAAAACTTGTGCATACACTAGCTTTCTATACACAAAACCACACATCATAATCGTTGAAAAATATTAATAACAATGTATAGAAGGTTTTGCTCACTCACTAGCTTGAAGAGTAGAGGAGAAGAAGAAGAAGACACCTCCGCCAACTGGTGTTAGGACTTAGGAGCAAACGAACATGACAATTTGTGCTATTACAACCAAGAAAACAATCCTTTTCATATGAGAATCTTCAGATGAGGAACTTTTTTCACTCTCTTATTGACTTCTTCACCTTCAAAATGGCTTGACCTAAACCTAAGGGCAAAATTAGGATTGGCCCCGGTGAGTTAACGGCAACAGACGGAATTGGAATCATTAAGGACTTCTATGATTTTATAAAAGATATCCTTCTACTCGAATTCTCTTCCACGTGAAGAAAGCCAAAATATATAATAAATTTTATATCAAAATGTTGAGTTAATTAAGTTTATTCATTTTATTTGTTTGGCAGTTTTTGCCTTTATGGTAAATTAGTTTGTTTCGCAATTTTTACCCCCATACACATTTGTTTCCCTATTTTAAAAATACTATTATATTTTATTCAATTATTTTAAACTCCCTAGTTCGTTAATTTAACAAACACCCCAAAAAAATTTAGAAATTAACAAAAATACCCTTATCAAACCACATTTGCAAGATTCCGATCACCACTGCCAGAAGGTGGTCAGAATCTGGTATAATAACGCACTACCGGTTGGATGTGGTCGGTAGTGAGCTGATCTGGCCTTTTTTCGACCAGTCCACAGTGGATCTTGCCAGAAAATGCTAAATCTTTGGTTGTAGCTAATTGTCAATGACGTTCATATCTTTGGTTGTCGTTAACGACCAAATACGGCTAGATCCAGTCAGTCGTGTGCTGATACAGTGACTCTGGTCACCCTACAACAGTGGTGACTGGCTGCCAGTATTTAATAGATAGGTAAGAGTGTTTTTGTTAATTTTTAATATTTTATTACAGGCGTGTTTAGTAAATTAACAAACCTATAAAGTATCTAAATAATGAACCAAGCCCACCCATGTTATTATTAACCTATTAAAAAATTATTTTTTTTCTTAATTTAGTTGAATGATTAAAAAATATTGAATGAACAATAATGTTATATTTATAACTGAGTCATACAATTAGACAAAAAACTGTAGATAAAGTAGTCAGTTTACATGAATTTTGGAAAAAATAATGGTGAAAACAAATGTAAATTGTGTAAGAAGTGTATCATGAAGAGAAAGCAATAACAATGATATGAATCATCCCATCTCTCTATTCTTATATCCAAAGTATAGTTCATGTTTTGTTTTCTATTCACAATTCGAAAAAGATTGCCGTTTTAACATAAGCAAACGAAGGAAGCTCTATAAAGTTTTGGAAATCAAGAGATTTTTCGGTTTTTAGATAAGAAATAATGGCTAGGGTAGACAACTATTTAAATGGATGTTAATTTTAGTAAAAATTATGCATGGTTCATATATGATGGAGAAATGTGGTCCTTTGCATCATCTACATTTGTATACTTCCTCTTGTTTATTTGTGATACCCTTCTAGTTAAAATGAAGTTTATTACAGTTTATTTTGTATTTTTTTAAGTTCACTGAGATAACATTGGTGTGTAAGATAAATTGATGTGTTTAGAGTGAACTGATTGTGTAAAACTTTGATAATTTACATATTAGTAATGCTATAGCCACCGACGGTAATGCACCGAATTTGTGCACCGAATGACGTGACAAAATCCTGACCGTTGATTAATATTAAGTTAAAATTAATCAACGGTCAGGATTTTGTCACATCATTCGGTGCACAAATTCGATGCACTACCGTCGGTGGCTGTATTATTTTCTTTTATATATTATATGCAGGGTGGGTCAGGTCGAGGATTAAAACTCTTACCATTCCCACCCTTATCCTCAAAAAAATCGGGGAATTCTTACCCCATACTGGGCGGGTCGAGACGGACTTCAGAATTTCGGAGGCCCAATATCATACCTATCTATAGTTACTAGAACCTTCGCAAAACGAGAAAGGAGGTAAGGAGTTTAAGTCGATTGGGTGGTTGTCGACGTATATTCTCTAATGCTCAAGTCAACAAAATGTTCAATGAAAAAGCTCTATAACAATGGTGAAAATTGAAAAGGAAAAAGATGATGGGTAGGAGGATAGTCCCAGGATTGGAGATGGCACCTTTAGGATGGTTCCTCGTGTCCCAGGGTTGCTATGGGTTTATACTCCTTAAACTCATTCCATTGATCATTTATTAAATTATAATAGTAATTTGGTCTTAATATATGTTGATGACATTGATGTAACACAAAAGAATACGATGGATACCTTTCCCAACTCAGCCAACAACAACATAAACGAGCAAGCAACAAAACAATATAAACCCAGAAAATCAAAACATCCAACACTTCTATTGATAATCCAAAAACAAAATAAAAATACACAACAAAAGAGTCTACCCGAAACAAATTAAAAAAGAAAGGATAACCTTATATTCAATAGAACACAACAAAAGAGTCTACCCGAAACAAATTAAAAAAGAAGATCAAACAAACTGAAAACTCAACAAAGGAAACAAGGATAATGTTGGACTTGGGGGGCTAATCCCTCCCTAATCCCTTCTATTTTCTTCTCCCACTCATCTGCTCGCTCCCTCTCTTTTTATCCTCCAGCTCTCTCTCTCTCTCTCTCAACTGAATTTCTTTGCTGTCCCAATCCCCAATCACCACCTGTCCCAACCTACACCCATGGAAATTTCCTGCCAATATCCCTTCAATCCACTACTTTCCTACACCCTCATCATCAAGTCTCAACAGAGTGTTATTACTAAAAGAGTAAACACTAGAAGAGTAAACAACGTTTACCCACCCAGGGTTTGGCGAATCTCCTAATTCCCACCCTTGGTTTCATACATTCCAAGTTCCCACCTCTGGTTTCATAAATTTCAAGTTCCCACCAATGGTTTCATCTCACCGGATGGTGGTTGCTCACCGCTGATCGTCCGCCACCCATTTGGTTTTGCGGACGACAAGAAGAGGGAGATTGAAGAAAAATGTGTTATCGAAATAAATTTGAAAGAATGATGGTTATTTGTCTATACATTTGGGGGTTAAAAAATAATTTATAACTTTATTTGTCAATGGCAATTTAGTATTAGCACTATCTATATTGTGTCAGAACCAAAAATTACTAGCAGTGTTAATTTAAGGGTGGGTATCTAGAATTTATGAAACTATAGGTGAGAATCTGAAATTTATGAAACCATGGATGGGAACTTAAAGATTGGCTAAACCTTGGGTTGGTAAATGCCGTTTACTCTTAACTAAAACATATTTACAGAAAACCACAGCTTCTCCCTTCAGACGGAATCAGACCAACTCCTCCCTCTCCGAGATGAAGTCAAAAATCATGCAAATATCCTCGGGTATCTCTATCTCCCACCCGAACCTATCAAAAAGAGCCTTTTTGGTGAGGTCCAGCAGCTCCGGAATGTCCAAGTAGTCTGCGGCCTGCAGAACAAAAAATCAAACATACAATTGTTACAAAACTGAGGCAGAACATAGCTGTGCCAATACTGATAAGCGATCTGAAACAAACCCTGAACACCAAGAAAATAGACACAAGAAAGTAAACTAAAGTAGAAGTCTAGCACAACGCAACTACATTTAAAATGTGCTGGATACCCACTCCAGTATCTCAAACACACACAACCAAAACAGTAACAGCACCAATAAACAAACCCAGAAACACACAGAAGAACACTGCACAAACCCAGAAATATATATATCTTGATGCTAAAGCTGATCTACACTAAGTCAACAACAACTTCAGCTCAGCAAACATTAACAAGTAAGATTAACAATTGAAGGATAGAACCAAACAAAACAAAATGAACATTAACAAGTAAGATTAACTAAAAGAAGGATAGAACCAAACTAACAGATCGAGGGAAAAAAAAAAGAGGTAGTTACTCGAATGAGATCAAAGAGCGTGTTCTGGTCGACCATGACGAACAGCGCGTCGAAGTGTTTGCGCTTCTCCTCAGCCACCAACCTCTTGATCTGAACCTCAACAAGATCCCTATCAGCATCATCGACAGCGGCGGCGGCAGCGGCGGCAGCGGCAGCGTATGTCGTCTTGCGGCCAAGCAGATATTCTAACTCATGATCCATTAAAAGCTCTTCTCCCCCAATGTAAAAACGCTGCTTCAGGAAGAAGATGACTGCCCCGAGGATGCAGCGGTTAACATTATGTAACGTGAAGACGTTACCAGCTCCGTCTTCATCGATCATCTGTTTGATCGTCCGAGACCGGATGGCGTCGGCTTTGTCGACCTTAAAAGAGACGCCGTCAGAGCTAATGAGGGTGACTTTCTCCGACTTCATGGTATTGTTAGGGTTTCAAGGGGGAGAGGCTTTTACGGGTTTGAAAAGTCAGACAAGAGAAGCGAATTATAGAAAGGGCGTGCCGGCAGTACTGTTGATTTATACAAAGGCCTTGGAGCTTAACGTAACCATTAAGTAACTTATTATTTTTAATTTTTATTTTTTGAACCCAAAACATTCCCCTAGGCATGGCAATATTCCCCGAGATTTTGGAGACCCGTCCCGTCCCGTCCCATATAGGGTGGGAAAGCCTCGGTTTTTTTGGGGATAGGGGCCAGGGTGGGGGGTGTTTTAATCTCCGTCCTCGGGGATGGGGCGGGGGTGGGTGATGCCTTTCCCCCGGCCCGCCCTGCCCCGTATATAATATATAAAATTAAAAAAATGTATATATATATATATATATATATATTTACTTTTCACTAATATCCTTATATTTCACCTAGTTACACAATTATCCTTCCTATATAAACCCATATTTTTCTAATTTCCCTCACCCCAAACAATTGAACAAGAACAAATCCTGACCCATATTTATGTATAATTAATTATACTTAAACGATTAATTTAAGTGTTTGTCATGTGGACGAGAATTAACTATTGTGTTTGGTAATGCTCAAATTAATTTATGTTTATATAAAATTAACGGGGCGGGGACGGGCCTCCAACATTCCCCTTTAGGGCGGGGAAGGAGAATTCCTGTCATCCCCGTAACGGGGATGGGTAGGGCTGCAAACGAACCGAACAGTTCGCGAACGTTCGTTGTTCGTTCGATTACTGTTCGATAATGTTCGCGAACAGTTCGATAGTTGTTCGATAATATGTTCGATCGAGTTCGAATAGGGGTTGTTTGTTCGATTATGTTCGCGAACACTATACGTTCGACTAATCCATCCGTTCGATTGTTCGTTCGTTTATGTTCGAAAAATATGTTATGCATTATTATAATTAAATTTTTTTTTTTCATTTTTATATTATGTTTGATTTAGTTTAGATGAATTTTTTTTAATGGTAATCAATAATAAAATATTATGATGCTTTTGTTTTTCTTATATATATAATATGTTTGAATTTTTTTTTCCAAATGTCATCAATAATTAAATATATAAGTATATAGAATTTTAATTAAAAAGTAATAAATTATTATGATACATAGCATGACAAATTTAATAACATAATAAATTGTATAATCAAGTGATATATAATATAGTAAATCCAATAACATAATAGCTTCATATTTTTCTAAATGTAATCAATAATTAAATATTATAAGATAGCATTTCAATTAATAAATAATAAATATAGTATGGTAAATTGATAAACATAACATATTGTATAATCAAGTGATGTATAGCATACCAAATTTAATAATATAATAGTTTAATTAAACCTAAATTAATCACACATTTGTATTGATCATTTATTACAATAAACTCTCATATCACTATGAATTTATAGGTGTTGGTACAGAATAAATATGTAGACAGTAATGATAATATATATATATATATATATATAATTAATCACACATATGTATTGATCATATATTACAATAGATTTTCATTCCACTATAAATTTATGGGTGTTGATATAAAATATATATGTAAACATTTAAAATATTTATGATAATTCATGTAATGATAATAAATATATGATAACCTATAATTTTGGTAATTTCATAACATATTTAACCTATGATTAATATATGTATGATAATAATTTTGTATATACACAATTAACAATTATATATAACAAATTAATCACACATATGTATTGATCATATATTATAATAGGCCATCATTTCACTATGAATTTATGGGTGTTGATACAAAATATATATATACAACAAATTAATCACACATATGTATTGATCATATATTACAATAGACTTTTATTCCACTATAAATTTATGAGTGTTGATACAAAATATATATGTAAATATTTAAAATATTTAGGATAATTTATGTAATGATAATAAATATATATATGTAAACAAATTCCTTTTGTTTGTGTCATGTTTGATATGGAACTAAATTTGTTTTGAACGATTTATTGTTCTGTTTAATTTGTTTTGAAGTTTTATTATTTATGATGATTAGTTATTTTAATTTAGTGAGTTTTTATTGATTTGTTTAAAATATAAATATAGATAAAGAGTTGGTTTATTTTCAAATGTTGAATTAAATGGGTATGAATTATAAATTGTTGCATATTTGTTTTTTAGAGCATGAATTGGAAAGTTAGTGTACATTTTTTATTCGAACAAGTTATTCGAACATGTATTTACAAGTTATTGAACGAGTTATTCGAACAGGTATTTACAAATTATCGAACAAGTTAGTCGAACAGGTATTTACAAATTATCGAATGAGTTAGTCGAACAGGTATTTACAAATTATCGAACGAGTTAGTCGAACGAACAAGTTAGTCGAACGAGTTAGTCGAACAAGTTAGTCGAACAAACACGAACGAGCTTTTTGTTAATCGAACGAACACGAACACACATCATGTGTTCGTTCGAACACGAACACGAACACGAACAATCGAACATGCTTATCGAACGATTTTCGAACGGGCCTGTTCGTTCATGTTCGGTTCGATTGCCGGCCTAGGGATGGGGCGGGGGCGGGGAATGATTTTGAGGGTGGGGATGGGTATGGTGAATGAGATCTCCGCCCCGGCCCGCCCTATTGCCATGCCTAGATTCCCCCATACATAACATAGTAATGTGAAAAGGAATTGATTTAATTCTCTCCCACCACATTGAGAAAAAGAAACCAGTTGTTCATGATTACCATTGAATTCACTGGTCTGGTCCATAAATCTGAGTCATAGTTGCGAGTCGGAATAGAACTAGTAAGTAAACCAATTCTCAACATGCTTAATCAATCTGATTGAATTGATGAGATGTCCTATCAACAGTAACCAGCAACTGTAGTAAAAAGAAAACACACAGCTACAAATTCTGAGTTGTAAGTTATTTAACTTTGAATTAACACCTAAATGCAGTAGCCTTTACTCATGTCAAATGTGAATGCATAGATGAGTATGCATAAGCTTCAACAAATCACCCAACTCATGCGCCCATGGCATAAATGTCACATAATTTGCAACAGAACAAACATCACATTTTACACACATGATGATACGATGACTTGTGGACCCAATTTTAAGAGGAATCACTCCTCGGCATGATCTTCCTAAAAAAGGTAAGCTAAAATACTCAGTGAATGAGTGTTCGGAGAAACACTTCTAAAACATTTCAATATACAGTAATAACGTTCATAACCAACACTAAAATCTCTTTTCTATTACCATTTTACAGCATTATCTATTTCTCGCAAATAGATAATTATTCTTACAATATTTGCTCTGGTATGCTTTAAAAAAAAAAAAAAAAAAAAAATTTGCATGCCAGTCAATGAGTAAAACGGGCGGGGCCTTCTTTTTCAAAATACACCAGCAGGGATAGGGTATATATATATGAAGAGCTCCTATATTTTATTAATGCAAGAAAGTAATCACTATTAATGTAATTAATACATTGCTAACATAATCAAATAGGATAATTAAAGCAACATTAATACAAATATTTTGATTGATTATTAGAATATATTTAGGATTTGCCGTATGTTTATGTTCCAACATTGCACATGGGTAAAATGAAACTTATACTCTATTAAAACAAACCAGGTGATCGATAGGGAACACAAGTACAGCTTTCTATAGACTGCAAGACTGAGTAGCTAAAAACATGCAATTCAAATTAATAACTTCAAGGAAATGTACTGTTATATTATACTCTGTTAAAACAAACTAAAAAAATTTGGAGCACAAGATAATATGTCAAGTCATTTCTTACAGCAACATCCATCAAGAAAAGATAAGGGGAATGTTTATTTTCTGGTTGACATGGGGCAAACAACAGAACCAAAATAGGGATTTTTATAACATGAATTAGTCAGTATATTACTCCTGTGTATTAAACAATGAGAGCTGATAAAAGAAGCTGCCAGCTGTATCCAGAGCTGAATAAGTTCAGAGCCAAAGACACACAAAATAACAAACACCAATAAGAAAACCATGTGTATAAAGAAGTAACAAATGAGAAGCTACAGTTGATTTGCCTCAGGCTCTTGCTCATATCTGATGATGCCCAGTTCCAAAAGATCAATTTTCCCCTGAAATATATCATATAGTTGCGGAACCTGTTCCTGATACCTTGGACAAACATGTGTCCATCAAGTACTTTTCAGAAAACATCAGCACAGAAGACATACTAAAATTCACTCCAAAATATGGTTCTTGTTAAGCAAGACTACCTATCAATCCCCTTCACTGATGTCACAGTCTCAATAAACATATCCTTTTTCCCACAAGGAATTTAACTTCACCATTGCATACCTGAAATCTGCCTCCAGTGCAATGGAGATTGATAGAATATTGCAATTACAATTATACAGGAGCACGCATCAACCACACAAAGAAGTTGCGCAACCAAAAATATCACAACATCACATCTATAATATTGTTCAAGTCAATCAATATCACTGATTCATCTCTCTCTGTGACCTCCAAGCTTCACTGTAAGTTGCTAGCAAGGAAAAGCTTGTTAGAAACTCCAGGGACTGGAGTAAATCAAAACCACATAATTGAGATTCAGATCTGCATCTACTACTCATGTAACAAATTAGCTTAAAAGTTTACCACATTCTAAATATGAACTAAAGTATACAATCAAATACAAATTGGAAAGTGATGAAAACAATGTTGCTCTGCAGAACTAACTGAAGTAATTCAACATTGTTCAATAAACTACAAAGCTGAAACGTAATAATCACCAATTAGAGATTATACAATCGTTTTAGGTTAGGAAAGTTGACATGCTATAGTGTTCTGGAAGAAACATAGATCTCCAGATCCTGAAACTGAAAGCCTTCCTTCCTTTGATAGATATTCATCAGTTCAGGAACCTGGTCCAAGTATTTTGTCACAAACCTATCCAAGAATAGCTTCTCAACAGGTCTTACACATGTACTTAGGCTCCATTTTTTCTTCAGCAACCCCTTCGATTGCAGAACTTTAATAACCAAACACCTTGGGATTACTCTCTTTTCCAAACTCATAAGGAAAACTTCTGGATACAAGGCAATATCTGTGGACTGCCAACGCATCTTGTTCACAAGAAAATCCATTGCATTCATTATTTTGCTTTCAGAGGCAATCATACAGTTGGGGCATTTTCTGAACACCAACATAATGTCCTCATCAGACCATCTCCACCCCCTGAAAACGTTCAATTTCCGTTCCCAAGTTGATTGACTCATTGCTGCAAACGCTTGCATCGCATGGATGAACCCACATTTCTGAGGATCAAAACCCATTTCAATAACCTTCTTGACATTTTTGTCAAACTTCTCACATTTTTGGAAGACTATAGGGGCATAACATGTTAAAATCAGTGCAATAAAACGCTCGGGCATTCCAAGTTCTCTCAGGACTGTAAGTTTCGGAGACACATTCTTTGCCAAATCTTGCTGAAAGATCCCTGATTTTTTTCTAAACGATTTAATAACATTTGCATCAGAGAGGAGCACACTTTTGAGGAATTTATAGTTAGGAATGAGTAGGTTCTCCAAACTGTGACCCAAAATAGCTGGAGTAGAAGAGCAAACACTCGCAAGCTCAGCATCTGTGATCCCCAAAGATTTGAAAAACTCAAATTTAGGCAAAATTGACCTCTCAGGATTGGTTAAAAGTAAACTAGGGCGCCTTTTAACAAGTTTGGTTATATGGGCAGCTGTTAATCCATAGTTTCTTAGAACTTTCAGGACCGAATCTGGTTGTTCAGCAGATTGAAGCTTGATTCTTTCGGAGACAGATTTTGCTATTTCTGGGGACAACCCACATGAATTTATGAGGTATGACGCAGTAAATGAGTGGTCCTTTTTAACTTGTTCTATATTGGTTGAGAATGATCTAATGCTACTGGGTAACAAACCCAAACACAAATCGACATGATTAGTGCCTAAATTTTGGACGACACACCTATAAATATTTGGTAAAACTTGTGCATATGCTAGCCTTCTATACACAAAACCACACATCGTAATCGTTGAAAAGATTAATAACAATGCATTGAAGGTTTTGCTCAGTATGTAGATTTCACTCACCAGCTTGAAGAGTAAAGGAGAAGAAGATGACACCTCCTCCAACTGGTATCAGGAGCAAACGAACAAGTCCTATTCCTGTATACAAAGCCAGTTAGAAATTTATTTTCATGAGAAGCTTCAAATAAGGAGGAAGTGTCTTCACTCTCGTCTTGACTTCTTCACCTTCAAAACGGCTAAACCTAAAGCCAAGGGCAAAATTGGCTCCGTTGAGTTAACGGCAACAGACGGAATCGTTAAGGACTTTTATGATTTTTCTTGAAATATATGTACTTGCATAATTAAACAAAATTTGAGGATTTTAGTTAAATTTCATGGGTTACATGACTGTTAAACTAAAACAAACAAACAAATACATTATTCTGGTTAATGTAAAATTCATAAAAAAAGTAAAACCTCTTTATAATTATAATGACGGCAAACTAATTTATTATTATAAAAAAGTTATAATTTAATAAAAGTGTAATTACAAAAATTACTATTTTAATTTCTTATTTTATAATTAACGTTTGCGTATTAAAATTTTAATTAATTATTTTAATAGTATTAAGATTTCTTATTTACTTTTAATATTACTTGATTTCTTATTTTATAATTTATGTTTTAGATAAATATTTTATTTTATCTAAAACTTTTAATACAACATAACATAACACACACACACACACACACACACACATATATATATATATATATATATATATTATTTATTTTTCTTTTTTTTTACATAATAAATAATTATTACTATATAGAAACAATATTTTTAAAACGAGAAATAGAAAAATAAAAACTTATTAAATGTTTTCTTTTCTTTTCTTCTCCTTTTTTTTTTTAAAATTGAATATGGAGTACGATTTTTTTTCTTTATTGAATCAAGTCAGGAGGCTCGACTTCACCCTAATGAGGAGGTTATAATTTAATATAAGTATAGTTGTAAAAATTATTATTTTGACCTAATTATCCTTAGTGCAAGTGATATAAAGATAAAATATATATTTTATTAATGTAACATAACATTTTTTTTTTTATAATATATAGATAATTATTACTATAAAGAAGCAAGTTCTTTAAGACGAGATTTAGAAAAATTATAATTTATTATAACATGAAGTTTATTCTAATTTACAACTAACCCAAGTTGAAACCTAAATTTCTTATGACTACATGAAGGTTGTTCTTATACAAAGTATCACTATAAAAAGATCTTACTATAGTAGTATTTTTGTATTTTTCGTGTTTTTAATCTAATAAAACTTTAATTTTCAATTTTTTTTTTCTTGTCCCTACTAAAACAAAGTTCTCACTCCTTCATCATTTAACTTTATTGTATACATTTTTGTTTTTTGTTTTTTACCTTTTAAGTTTTAACGGTTTTCTCACATTAACCCATCCGTGGATAATCCAGATGGTTAGGATGAATTGAGGATAGTGTGAATAGACTCATGGTCTCATGTTTGATTTTCCATCTAAACCTCTGCGATTTAAGTGGGAAGAGTAAGCTGGCAAGAGATTAATTCAGACGCACGTAAAACTAATCAAGACACCTTGATTACTCATGTCAGAAAAACTAATTCGATGAAACTCCTATGTAATATAAGGATATAGATACGAATTAGATGTATAATATATGTGTCAACAGAAAATAATAATAATAAAAAAAATTATATATATATAGTTAAAGTGCACCATGCATATGATTGATGGAAAGATACATATTGTGTGTGTGACGATGAAATGGATAAATCTCATAAATTAATCAATTAACTAATGCCTTCCATTTTCATTGATAAGATAAGGGGAATGTTTATTTTCTGGTTGACATGGGGCAAACAACAGAACCAAGTCAGAGATTTGTATAACCTGAATTAGTCAGTACATTACTCTCTGTGTGTTCATCAACTTCATACATTTCAGTTTGTCCAATTAAACAATGAGAACAGATAAAAAGAAGCTGTAAGCTGTATCCAGAGCTGAAAAAGTTCAGGATCAAAGGCACCGAAATTAACAAATAATAATAAGAAAGCCATGTATATAAAGAATTAACAAATGAGAAGCTACGGTTGATTTGCCTCAGGCTCTTGCTCAAATCTGATGAATTTTCCCCTGAAATATATCAAATACCTCGGACAAAAATGTGTCTATCAAGTACTTTTCAGAGGACATCAGCAGAGAAGACATACTAAAATTCACTCCAAAATGTAGTTCAAGTTAAGCAAGACTACCTATCAATCCCCTTCACTGATGTCTGAATCTCAATAAACATATCCTCTTTCCCACAACAAATTTAACTTCACCACTGCATACCTGAAATCTGCCTCCAGTGCAATGGAGATTGATAGAATATTGCAATTACAATTATACAGGAGGACACGTCAACCAAACAAAGAAGTTGCGCAAGCAAAATTACCAAGCATCAAATCTATTATATTGTTCAAGTCAATCAATATCACTGATTCATATCTTTCTGTGACTTCCAAGCTTCACAGCAATTTGCTAGCAAGGAAGGGCTAAATCATTAGAAATTTGAAAACGAAAAAGGTTAAAAATCTAAAGGTTGTATTTGATATTATAACAAAAATAATAAATAAGTAATGTTGAAAACAAATATAAATTGCGTCAAAAGGTATCATGAAGGAAAAGCAATAACAATGACATCATGGTAAGGCTAACATGAATATCCCATCTTTCTATCTTATCCAAAGTCTGTTTCATTTTTTTTCACAGATCACAGTTTGAGAGAAGATTGCCGTTTTAGTATTTACCATAGCAAATGAAGGAAGTTCCATACAGTTTGGAAATCAAGAGAAAGCAAGAAATAATGGCTAGGGTAGACAATTAGGATGTTAATTTAGTTAAATGTGCAACGTTTATAGATGATGGAGAAATGTGGTACTCTCCATGATCTATATGTGTATCATCCTCTTTGTTTATTTGCAGAAATTCTTGTAAAGGTGGGGTCAAATAAAAAGTAATATCATATAATATCGTATTTTATATTCTGGAATTGGGGGTGGACATACTCTAGATCCGCCGATCTATATTTGTGTACCAAAAACATTCTCCAAATCTAACATATTTGATCAAATCCATCATATTGATCAAATCTTATTCAGAATAGTAGCAACCTTAACTAATCATGTTTACAGAAAACCACAGCCTTCCCTTCAGCTAGAATCATACGAAATCCCCGATTCAAACATGTAGTCAAAATCACAGAAAATATCATCGGGTATCTCTATGTCCCACAAGTTGAACTTATCAAATAAGCTTTTGGAGAGAGCCAGCGCGCGGAATGTCCAAGTAGTCTGGCCTGCAGGACAAAAAATCGAACAGACATTGTTACAAAACTTCCGTGGGTAAATCAAACAAAATGAGGCAGAACATAGCTGGCCAAATACTGATAATTCTCAAAAAAATTAACAAAATTTCCATAACAGCAAACACGTAAGACAAAAATGCTACAGCTGGTGTTTTGTTATTTACCAAATCCTGGTCCTATTCCAAATAGAATGGGGAATTCTTTTATTTCAAAATCCTATCATAAACTAATAACACCCCTAGTTTGTTGTTACAAAAACACCCAACAAAAAAAAAAAATTTAAATCAACAAAAACACCCCTCACCCACCACTCAGTTGCCAGATTCCGGCACCCCCGTCGGTGGTGGCCGACATTCTGTCACAACGGCGCACTACCGGCCAAAAAATGACCGGTTATACGCTGATCCGGCGGTTTTGTGGGCAATAACGCAGATTCTGGCGATGGTGACGGAATCTAACAAACTGTAGGTGGATGTGGTATTTGAAAACACAGAACAAAAATTACTACATATGTTAGGGAACAAAAATCAAAAACCCTAATTTGGAAAATGAACCCAAATTTCGATAAAACTAACAGATCGAGGGGAAAAAAATAGGTACTTACCCGATAGGCCAAAGAGGTGACCTGGTCAACCAAGACGAACGTAGCCTCCCAGTTCTTGAAGTCGACCTTAGCTGCCGACTCTTGAACTGCACTCATCGAAAAGCCCCATCAGCGTCCGCGGCAGCACCGGCGCGGCAGCAGCGGCAGCAGCCGCCGCATCAAATCGAATTTCATCTTGCGGCCATACAGATAGTCGATACCCTTATAATTGAAAGACCTCAAAATTCCTCCTCATAGTAACGCTTCAGGAAGAAGACGACCATACGAGCGTGTTGCTGGTGTGAAACTTATGTATCGGGGGAAGACGTTAGTCAGTCACCAGCCAGTGTTCATCCATCGCCCGTGCGATCATCCAGAGTAAATGGCGACGGCTTTGTCGATCTCAAAAGATTTGCCGCGACAACTTTGCCGTCACAGGTCCAGTCGTCGCAGATAGTGGGAGACCTTCGTTGTTGTCGACATGGTATTGCTAGGGTTTCAAAGTGGAGAGGTTGGTGGCTTGAACTTTGAAAAAGGAAGCGAATTGTAGAAAGGAGGGGCCGGCAGAACTGTTCGTTTATGAAAGTGAAGGGGCCTCGGAGCTTCACCACTAAGTAAACTATTTTTTAATTTTTAATTTTTGAACAATATGAATTTCAAGGAAGGAAATAATACGGAGGAAGGTAGTGAGTGTACTTAAATAAGGTGATAAAACTTAACGTTAACTAATTATAATCTAAATTAATCGATGATCAGGATTACTATATCATTCGATGCAAATTGATACACTAATTTGAAAAATTTAGTATTACTCATTTTCAAATGACTTTCAACCAACCAAAATTCCCTCGTACATAACATAGAACAACCAAGTAAACCAATTCTCAACATGTTAATCAATCTTGTGATTGATGAGATGTCCTACAACAGTGACAAGTTTCATTTAAACAGCACTGTAGTAAAAATTAAAAACACAGTACAAATCTGAGTTGTAAGCTGTAGCAACATTACTCTTTCTTATAAACTACTCGTTAA